CCTTGCCTTTGGCTTTAGAGACTGCGGAAAAGGTAGGGAATGGGGACCCACCCTCCGCTCCCTCCCTCTCCTCCCGCAGAGCCCAGGCTCCCCTTCCTCCTTCCCCAGCTACAGGCGCCCCAGGTCAGGATGCCAGGATGGCAAGAGGGCAGCCAGGCTGTTGAACTGAATGTCATGATTTGTTTAATGTTCTTATTGGTGGTTGAATGAATGAATGATGAATAACAAAGAGTGAATGAATCAAAGTCAAACAGAAAGAAGGCTGACCAGATGTTTTGGCGTTGGGGCTCCTGGGATCTGTTTGCTTTCAACAGATAGTGGAGGCAGCGAGTGGGTGAGGGGCCTGGCTCTCGGAAAGGTCAGCTCTGGTTTGGGTGAGCGGCTCATGCCTGGGAGAAGGCGCCTGTGCCTGTGAGCCCTAGAGGGGGAGTCCCTGGCTGAATCTGGGCCCTTCTGTGTCTGCGTGTGGGTGGGTGTCTCCATGTGAATCCCAGCGTCTCTGTCTGTGTGTCCCTGCTCAGAAGCTCCTTCCTGCCCAGTAATGAGGCCCTGGGGATTTCTCATGTGTTCATGGCTCTGTGGCCCAGAAGTCATCTAGCTGGGCAGGCTCCCCTCCCGGCAGAGGCTGTGGCCTGGGGTGAGGCCAGGCGGGACAGCACCGATTCCCTCAGCCATTGACAGTCGTATTTACAGAGCTCCGAGTAGGACGTAATTGCTTCTATTAATCTTTCTCCGGTTGTTAATTGCTCACTTATCGGGTTGTGTACTATGCCGACTGTTGCTCTTAATTCGCCTCTATAGCTGCAGGTGTTCACTGCCTTATTAACTGTTAATCGGCGCCACTAGGGATGGAGACTTAATTGGCCCCCAGAGTGGGACACAAGCAGGCCAGCCCCGGGCACTGCCAGGCTCTCAGCCTGTCCCTGGAACCCTTACCTATGAGCACAGGTTGCTACCAGAGAAGGAGTTGGCCCATCGCCATCCACTGGCAGGTGGACCAGCGTAGGACAATGAGTGACATCTGCAAGGTGTGGCCCCCTCCTCCAGAAAGCCAACCAACCAATTAGAATCCAGCTCCTACACTCCCTCTCATCACCAACAACCTTCTTCTACCGGGATAGGAGCCAACCTCATTTCTTTTCATTATCGGAACGTAACTGAGAACTAAGCGACCAGCACTTCTCCTGTCTCCCCTCTGATCCCAGCAGTCAAGGCTGTCAAGGTAGCAGAGACACTGGGAGAAAGGAGGGCAAGCTGAAGGAGCTTCTGCCGGAGCAGGGAGGTGCAGTTAGACCCGGGAGGACTTCCCAGCTTTTCAAGAGGCCAGCTGGAACAATCCGGGTCCAAATAAGAATAAGAACTTCCTGGAGGAGATCCGCTGCTCATCCCAGCCACCCTAAGGGGTCCCTCTCAGCCTCTGCTTTCACAGCCCCAACCTCCCTGTGCACCGCTACACAGCTGCCGCCGCGGGAGGGTCTCCCTACTGAGCGGCCTCTGCCGTCCCCTGCCCAAGTCACAGCAGAGGAATCCCAATTGTCCACAAGGGACACCGAGGCCCAGACAGGACAAGGGAGTGACTCCAGGGCCCCCGATCCTCTCTGGCCAGGGCTCAGATATGTGAGTATCCAAGCAAAGTTTCTGCCCCCAACCTCCCCCTACCCTGCTCCATCCCAGACATCTCAGACCTGGAGGGGATTTTCTCGGTCACCACCTTCTTAGTTTTGGTCTTTTAAAAAAATATACATTTTTTTTTTATTGATTTCAGATAGAAAGGGAGAGAGAGAAACATTGATGAGAGAGAAACATTGATCAGTTGCTTCCTGCCACCCCACACTGGGGATCAAGCCTGGAATCCGGGCATGTGCCCTGACCGGGAATCGAATCTTGACCTCCTGGTTCATAGGTCAACGCTCAACCACTGAGCCGCACCGGCTGGGCTTAGTTTTGGTCTTTAAGCCTCTCAACCTCAGCTGCCACTGCTGCAGCTGCCTCAAGCTCCAGCACCTTTGAAACAGGAATGCAAGGTTTCTGGAAACAGTTGACCCGAGAGAGACAAGTATGTTAAATATGTTCACGTGTGGTGGTGGTGGTGATGAGATGGGGGGTGGGGGGGTGTCCATGCCTCACCAGCCTCCAAGAAGGACAAACAAGCAAACCAACATGGTCCACGTCCTGTGCCTCAAATCCTGTCTGCCCTGACATCTGAAAGTTTATCCTGATGTTAGTTGTCATGTCTTGAGCTGCAAAGGAAGCTGATTTGCTTTGGTTGGGCCCTGAGAGAAGCTGGGCTCTATGGAGAGATGAAGGGAACTACCATTAAATGCCTACTGTGCGTCAGAAGCAGCAGTAAGTGTATGCAGAGGTGGCATCTCACGGAATCCTCACATAACCTGATGAGTCAGGGATTCGTATCCCTCTTACAGAGAAAGAAACTGAGCCAGCGAGAGGGAAACTAAACTTGCCCAAGGCCACACAGCCAGGAAAGGGCAGAATTGGGATTCCAACCATTGCCTGCACGTTTTTGGTCAGTGATATCGCGGTGGATTCATCCTAATGGCTCAATAAAGTGACCAGGGCTGGAATCGGTGATCACTATTACATTTTACCCACTTGACCCAAACCTGGGAACATTAGTAAGAAAAATGCGCATGTGCCTGGCGGTGGCCCAGTGGTTAGAGCGTGAGCCTGCGCACTGAAGGGTGGAGGGTTTGATTCCCTGTCAAGGACATGTACCTCTGTTGCAGGTTAGTTCCTCTCCAGTCAGGCTGCCTGCGGGAGGCAACCAATGTGTGTGTGTGTCTCTCTCTCCCCCTCCCTCCCTCCCTCCCTTCTACTCTCTAAAAAGCAATGGGGAAAAAATTATCCTCGGGTGAGGATTAAGAATAATAACATAAAATAAATTTAAAAAAACACAAAAACTTTTAAAACCGCCTACACATGCGCAGTCCTCGTGCCCATCAAGCAGGATAAGCAGCAAAGGGAACCTGTCCACTGTCCAGGGACAGTTGCCCAAACAAGTTCCGGCCCCGCCTCCATGTTAATGACATGCAGATAGATGTAAATTTGCACAAGCAACTGCTCAAACCTTGGGAAGCAATGAGATGACACAGAAGTTTCTATGGAAACCCAAAAGCGCCCCCACACACACCTCGTGGCAGAAGCAATCGCAAAGACACGTGCACAAAGACCCAGGGTTCCTCGCTGCGGAGCCCGGAGGATCACGGAGTCGCGGAGGGCGTGAACCGGAAGGACCCGCAGGGCCGGCGTCCAGCCGGTGCTGAAGCCCGAGAAAGCCGCGGGGAGAGCGGCATCGTGGGGCGCCTTCCGCTAGAACCGAGGGGAGCTTAGTAGCCCTTCAAGTCCCAGGCGACTCCCACTCTGGCCTAGCAACGTGAGCCCCGCCCAGCGTTGCTTAGCAACATCTCACCGAGCCTAGCAACCGCCGGCCTCGCCCCCTAGCAACAGCTCGCCTAACGCGCTGTCCGGGCCTCCTCTGCCAAAGAGAAAGGCCAGGGGCTATGGACTAGCCGCGCAGCGGTCGCCAACCGGTGGTCCGTGAGGTCCGAAAGGTTGGCGACCGCTGGACTAGGGCCACAGGTGGGTGGACGTCAGGTTGACCAGCCCCCAGCCTCGAAGCAGGCCGCAGCATTCGGGGTCCGCCTACAGCCCCCTCCTCACAGAGGTGAAAGCTGAACGGAAGCCCCAGCGCCGAGTGCAGAGCTTGCTCTTCGCGGAGCGCCCCGGGAAGGCAGCAAACGCTGCACCTGGGGGAGGGGGTGCGCAGCCGTCTCCCGCTCCAAGTCCTCCTCCTTCAACCGCGTTAGGAAAATGACCCAAATTGCCGGCTCGGAATAGAGCTGTAGGTTGCATAGTAATTTGTGTCATTTGCATATGGCACAGAAGCTGTGGCGCTCACTAGCCGCTCGGGCCAGAAAAGCTCCCAAAGGAGCTTCGACCCGTCTGCAGGTTCACCGGTCCCTTCTCCCTGTCCCACCCCGCACCCCACCCCGGTCCCTGCTTCCAATCCCTTCGGCTAAAATCCCACACCTCGCCCCACCCCCAGCTCGGCCTCTAGCCCTGCCAGCCCCGACCTCCATCCCAAGGCCGAGGGCCCCCTCTGCTGTCGTCCGCGGGTAGGGCAACAGCAGAGCTCATGGGGCAGAGACTCCCCCAAACACCCCATCCGTCCAGCATGGTCCAGGACAAGGCTGGCACATAGGTAGATTTCGAGAAGGGGTGGGCAGGGGGACACCCTCAGGCCCGGGGAGAAGGGTAGGGTCCTATCAGAAGTTCTACAAGCCGCGTCCTGCTTCTCCGTGTGGGTTAGGCAGCCAAGGCAGGCCAGTCCCCAGACTCAGTTCTCCCAAGGACCGCCCACACTGATATGCTTTTCCATTGTAGCTGCTGTTAGATCACTCCAGGCCCCATGCAAAGCAGCACCATCCAGCCCTAACTCCAGCCTGAGTGTCCAGTCCCAGTGCCCGGGAGCTGGCAAGAGATACAGAGAGGAGTCGTCCTTTATGGATCTCCCAACTTCAACAGACAACAGACACACACACATGCTCACAGGCAGAGGCACACACAGAGACACATAGGGACTATGGTGGTAGCCCCACCCCCACCCCAACTCTCCAAAGGGAAAAAAATTCTTGGTAACTGAAAATTTTTAAAAACATTGCAATCTCTAGGTGCCTGTACCCCTTCAAAAGCCGAATTCTCTCTGTCCCCCTCCCTACTCCTGCCTTCTCTCCCATTACCTGTTCTCCCTCCTAGTTCAGATTACTTGCAAAATGCTTCCAGAACCCACCATGCCAACAGCCGTGCCCTGGCACATAGTGAGAGTCAAGGACCTCAGACAAGCAACTGGCAAAGTTGCCCCTCCATCCCAGCACGTTAGCTTTGCTACCACATCTGTGCACAAAATCTCAGACACACCCACCCCAGCCCACACCTGGCCAGGCCCAGGGTCTCTCCTGCCCAGCCAGCAGATGCATGCAGTCTCAACTTCGTCAAAATCTTTATTGAACCAAAAATCAACACTAAACAGTTTGCAAAACATGAAACTCAAAAGGGGCAGGTAGGTTGAGCTGGCCCTCCCCTTCCTCTGCCCCCATATCTCCCTGGAACAGCTCAGGGTTCAGCACTGGGGAGGGAGTCAAAGGCCCTCTTCTAGGGTCAGGTCTCTCCAGGGAGAGGACACTCAGAGCCAGCTCCATCTGTTGGGCCCAAAGAGGAGTCGGGGGCTGGGCCAGGGGGCTCTGGAGCTGCCGGAGGCCGGCATAGGAGTCCAAGGATTCCACCGGCTGCAGGGGGCTGGGGAAGGAGCTCCTGGCCTGGGGATCTCAGGGAGGCTTGGAGCTGGCGGCTCATTGTCACCAGGGATTCAAGATGCTGGAGCAGGGCTTGCTGGGGACAGGATGCCCTGTGGAGGTGCTGGCCCCGGCCAGCTGGTGCTGAAGAGGGGTGCCAGGACTGGCACCAGCCTGGTCTTGTGGGCCACTCCCCTCGCCCAGGCCCCTGCCAGGTTTCAGGCTCTTCCCACAGTCTCCCCCTGCCTCTAGAGGGCTTCTGCCAAGCACAGCTTCCCCTTGGAGCCAGGCTGCCTTTGCCCCCTGGGGGAGGGGAGCCCCTCGGGGCCACATCCGGCCTCCTGTCCTTCCGCTGGTAGCATCTCATCTCCACTTTTTTGTTGAAGGAGACCACCTTGCGAACCTTCTCCAGCAAGGGGCTGGATTCCGCTGTGTCTGGAAACCCTGCTGTGGGGAGCAGCACAGCCAGCAGCAGGCTTGGGTGAGTGGCTTCCAGGCCTGGGGAGAGGCAGGGAGAGACCCAAGGCCTGGCAGGAGAGCGTGCACCGCCCTCCGGGAGCTGCCCGCTGGCTGTGGCAGGAGGTCTGGAGGTCAGACCCCCAAGAGGAGCTTTCCAGCAAGGAGACGGGGGCCCGGGAGCTGCTGGGGAAAGTAACTGGAAGATTGGTTCTCAGTGAGGGAAAGGGTTCCCCTGGCTGAGGGTAGACATGGATGGTGTGACCCTACCTCAGTTTTCTCATCTGTGACATGAAGACATTAATAGTACCATTCTGGGGTTATTTGGAGGACGAAGTGAATTAATTTAAGTAAGCTTTTAGAACACTGTCTGGCAGGCAGTAAGCAATAGACAAGTATGAGCTACCGGCATTGTTATCACATTTTCCTGTCTCAGGAGTTCCCTCCTGAGAGGTGCCTGTCTCCACAGAGACATGGTGTGACCAAGTGAAGGGAGGCAGGGTCTGGTACGGGCATCAGTATTCTCACCTGGGCCTCCAAGAAGGCGCAGTCTGGTGGGCAGGGGCTGGAAGGCAGGCAGGGGCAGCAGGACCACCCTCACGTGTTCCACCGCTGCCAAGCCATGGCACTGCTTGTTGTTGAGGTAGGAGTAGAGCAGGTGGCAGTTCTGGGTGTCCCGAGCCCCCTGGGGGCACAGTCTGACCACACAGGCGTCCTGTAGTTGCAGGAAGGACAGCAGCTTTAGGAGCAGTCATCCTTCCCTCCTGCAAACACCCCTGCTGTGCGGAAGTGCACCCCCATTTTCCGGAGAAGGAACCAGAGGGACTCGCCCAGGGTTACACTGTAAGCCTGCAGTCACAGTGGGAACTCGACCCAACTATTGTACACCAGGTCTCTGCTCCAGGGGCAGAGAGAGAGGGAGCACAGGGCTGGGGGTACGGTGCTAGTGGAAGAGGTGATACGCAAGGGTGGGTGGTTACCTTGGCCTTGGCTGGGCAGACGCTAGCCAGAAGGTCCCAGATGGTGCTGGAGGGGATGCAGCCTGCTGAGCGGATCACCTCGGGCAGGGTCTGGGGGCAGGTAGCATGGCCAGTCAGCCCCCAAGATTCCTAGCCACTGAGGGCAGACTGGACACCAGCCACCTGAAAGCCACAGCCTGTGACGAAGAGGATGAGCAACTAGTCTATCAGGACCCCAAGTGGCTGCCCAGGAAGCCCTAATTGCCCCTGGAGGCCTGCGTCCTGTCCTGGCCAATCTCCTACAACTTCTCAGAAGGCCCTCACTCCCTCCTCTAACCTTCCGCCTTGGCCCCACACTTTCGCTGATCATTAGTCACTTAACAATCACTTCTAAAATCTCTGGGCCAGGGAAGCACAGACCGCTGTCCTGGGTCCTTCTTGCTCTATGCTTTGGGTTACAGGGAGTCCTTTACCCATGTGTGTCTGCAGGAGTGGGGCTGGCATCTCATTTGTCCCCATGTCTAGCACAGGGCCAGGCATAGAGAGGGTCTTAGAATGAGTGAATGAATGAATGAATGAATGAGGGTGTGAGTAACTGACTGGGCTGGTCAGTGTGTGAGGGAGACCCTGGTGAATAGGGCAGCAGTACCATGATGAGCTGACAGCTGTGTCCTGAGACCAGCTGGGTCTTGACCCGGAACTGCTTGATGGAGAACATGGCCACAGCCCCCTCCCAGGGGGGCTTTGCGGGCCCTGCAGACACCTGCAGCCTGGAGGGAAGGACAGAGAGACAGGGCCATGGAGAAAGGTCATCAGGGCTTCCCCAGCATCTCCTTACTTTTCCAAGAAGGTCCCGTGTCCGCACTGCGGGTGTAGCACACTGGTCCAAGCACGGCGTTATGCGGGGTGAACCAGTAGGTCGGGAAGGTTAGTTCTACCGCACAGATGGGGAAACTGAGATCCGCGGAAGAGGCACGTTTTTTCCAAGGCCACACAGAAAGAGAAACCCGTGCGGAGCCTGCTGTCCCAGCGGTGGCTTCCCCCACCGCCCTGCCCCAGCCCCCCACCTGTCCTGGGACTCCATGGGAGGTTTCTCCGAGATCTGGGGCACCTCTGGAGAGGACACAGGGTCTGGGCTTGGGGCTCTCTGGGTGACATTGTCCTCCACCCTCCTGTTGGCTTTGGAGAAGCCTGGCAGCTCACACGAGGGCTTCCAGTCTGCAAACAGCAGAGGCAGGAGCTGAAACAGGGGCAGGCAGCCAGGCTGAGGCCAGCCAGGGCTTTAGAGCCAGGGTTTGAAGCGGGTGATTTTTGAAGTGACCTGGGGCACAGGCACCCCCACCCTGCCACCTTCTCCCCAGGCCACACATCCCTATGACTGCTGACCCTCACCGCCCAGCCTGCCCGCCCCTCTGTGCCCTTTCTGTGTCTCCCACAACCGTTGCAGATGTGGCAGCTGGGGTCGAAGAAGTGGTGCTCATGCTGCTCCGTGGGGTCCTCCTGCTGCTCCGGGGGGTCCTGCTGCTGCTCCGGGGGGTCCTGCTGCTGCTCCATGGGTTCCTGCTGCTCTGTGGGTTCCTGCTGTTCTGTGGGGTCCTCCTGCTGCTCCGGGGGGTCCTGCTGCTCCATGGGTTCCTGCTGTTCTGTGGGGTCCTCCTGCTGCTCTATGGGTTCCTCCTGCTGCTCTGGGGGTTCCTCCTGTTGCTCCGGGGGTTCCTCCTGTTGCTCCATGGGGTCCTGCTGCTCCGGGGGTTCCTCCTGTTGCTCCATTGGGTCCTGCTGCTCCATGGGGTCCTGCTGCTCCGGGGGGTCCTCCTGCTGCTCCGGGGGGTCCTCCTGCTGCTCTGTGGAGTCCTCTGACATGGCAGGCAGGGCCAGCAGGCTGCAGTCTATGGACACCATGGGTCTCTGGGAGGCACAGGGAGAGGGGGTGGCCTGGAAAGGCAGCTGGGGAAGTCAGGAGCCCTCCATGAGCGGAAAGCCTCAGGGATGTGCTTTTATTCTTCCAAGTAATATGTTCTTTTATTACAAAAGTACTGTGACTTGTTAAAGAAAATTTGAAAAATTTGAAAATTAAAAAAAAAAAAAATCACCCCTGTCCTGTCACTTAGAGACAACTGTTGGTACTCTGGGTATTCCTTTATAATTTTTTTTTTATATATACAAAGGTTTTAGGGATCTTTTACTAAAATAGCTAGGATCAAATATTCAACCTGGTCCTGGCCGGGTGGCTCAGTTGGTTGGAGCGTTGTCCCATACACCAAAAAGGTGGCAGGTTTGATTCCTGGTCAGGGTGCATACCCAGGTTGCAGGTTCCATCCCTGATCAGGGTGTGTATGAGAGGCAATCAATCTATGTTTCTCTTTCTCTCTCTCTTTCCCTCTCTCTCTCCCCCCTCTCCTCTGTTTCTCTCTCCCTCCCTCCCATCTTCCCCTCTCCCTCCCTCTCTCCCTCCCTCCATCTCTCTAAAATCAATTTAAAAACAACATATTCTCAGATGAATATTAAAAATATACATATACAGGGTGTCCCAAAAAGATGTATACACACTTTGAATGATTATAAACTCAGTGTTTATTAACATACAGTTCACTTTCAAAATTTAAAAGAATCTACAGAAATTAATAATTTGTTTTGTCATTGCCTGTTTTCAAATTGATGACTATTCTGGTCCAGGCACTGCTGATAAGGTGAAGCAATGGAATCGCAAACATCGAGAATCATTTCGTTCGGTATTTGTGCGCCCTCAATTCGTCGACTGATGCCGGGTTTTGTACTGTAAACTTTATCTTTTATGTATCCCCATTAAAAAACGTCTAGTGGCACTTTAGGATAAATTTTCTTTGTTCAAAGCTTAGTCTGGCTTCACCCATTATTTCAAATCAGTTAAACCTGAAAAGGAGTGAAAATTAAGTGAGTTATCAGCCGTTAACGTGTGTATACATTTTGGGGGGACACCCTATATATATTCAACATTTAGACCATACCTCAGAGATGCTGTGGGTTCCGTTCCACAATAAAGCGAATATTGCAATACAGTGAGTCACATGACTTTTCTGGTTTCCCAGTGCATATATGTTATGTTTACACTATTCTGTAGTCTATTACGTGTTCAATAGCCTTATGTGTAAAAAAAAAAGTGTGCCCCCTGGCTGGGTAGCTCAGTTGGTTAGAGCATCATCCCAGTACACCAAGGTCCAGAGTTCAATCCCCACTCAGGGCACATACAAGAATCCATCAATGAATGCATAAATAAGTAGAACAACAAATTGATGTTTCTCTCTCTCTCTTCCTCTCTCTCCCTCTAAAATCAATCAATAAATAAAAATTTTTTAAAAGTGTACCTAGCCCTAGCTGGTTTGGCTCAGTGGATAGAGCATCGGCCTGCGGACTGTCCAGGGTTTGATTCCCGATCAAGGGCATATGCAACAGGTTGCAGGCTCGTTCCCCAGTGGGGGGCATGCAGGAGGCAGCCAATCAATGATTCTCTCTCATCATTGATGTTTACATCTCTCTCTCCCTCTCCCTTCCTCTCTGAAATTAATGAAAACATATTTTTAAAAAGTGTACCTACCTTAATTAAAAATATTTTGTGGTGAACACACAATACAGTATACATGATGATGTATTATAGAATCGTACACTTGAAACCTACATAATTGTATTACCAATGTCACCCCAATAAATTCAATAAAAATTTTTATTTATAGAGCAAAGTATGAAATATAGGAAGACAATATTTCACGTATCTTGGTGTCACCAAAATAAAATTTAGGCTCCCCCAAATAAAAAACAACAACATCATTGTTTAAAAAAAAAAAAAAAAGCCTAATCATCATCTGAGCCTGTTGGAAAACTGGTGCCAATAGACTTACTTGATGCAGGGTGGCCACAAACCTTCAGTTTGTAAAAAATAAAAATAAAAATGCAGTATCTGCAAAGCACAATAAAGCAGAAGCGCAATAACACAAGGTCTGCCTGGATCCTCGTTGTGTCCCTGAATGACAGCAGCGGCATCTGCCACGTTCCACGGTCCCTGTAGCTATTACACGAATGAGGTGCGTGGCCGTGTACGCATCACCTGGGGCCAGACGATTGGGTCATTCCCAGGTTTTCGCTATTACAAATGGTACTGAGAACATCCTTGTGCAAGAAAATATTTTCCTAAACTTTCAACTATTTCCTTAGGACAAGTTCTCATAAGCTGATGACAGAATCAGGGAGAATGAACATTTTTAAGACACTTGATGATCATGGCCAAATCGCCTTTCTTCGTCATAATAGAAGCAGCTTTAAACACACACTAAACATTGTCTTAGGAAGATTCAAGAAGATTTTAACCTTGCCCGGCTGGCATGGCTCAGTGGTTGTATGTCAACCTGTGAACCAGGGGGTCACGGTTTAATTCCCAGTCCGGGCACATGTCCGGGTTGTGGGCTCCATCCCCAGTGTAGGGCGGGCAGGAGGCAGCCGATCAATGATTCTCTCTCATCATTGATCAGCTTCTCTCTCTCTCCCTCCCTTCTCCCTCCCTCCATCTCTGAAATCAAGAAAAAAAAATATTTTAAAAAAGATTTTAACCTCTACTTTTGCCCTAAAAACCATCTCCAGAATAGTGCCAAGGCCCAGGCTCTGGAGTCAGACAGCCTGGCTTCAAATCTCATCTCCCCCCTGCCAACTAGGTGACCTGGGCAAATGGCTTCAGGTTCCTCATCCAGGAGTACACTTCAGCAAGGAGTCAAGACTGTTGTGTGTTACTTTCCCTCCCCTCCTCTGCCCTCTCCCCATCTCTGAAATGAAGAAAAAAAATATTTTTAAAAAGATTTTAACCTCTACTTTTGCCCTAAAAACCAATCTTGATTCCCATGGCCAAATCGCCTTTCTTCGTCGTAATAGAAGCAGCTTTAAACACAAACTAAACATTGTCTTAGGGAGATTCAAGAAGATTTTAACCTTGCCCGGCTGGCACGGCTCAGTGGTTGTATGTTGACCTGTGAACCAGGGGTCACGGTTCAATTCCCAGTCCGGGCACACGCCCGGGTTGTGGGCTCCATCCCCAGTGTAGGGCGGGCAGGAGGCAGCCGATCAATGATTCTCTCTCATCATTGATCAGCTTCTCTCTCTCTCCCTCCCTCCATCTCCCCTCCATCTCTGAAATCAAGAAAAAAAAATATTTTAAAAAAGATTTTAACCTCTACTTTTGCCCTAAAAACCATCTCCAGAATAGTGCCAAGGCCCAGGCTCTGGAGTCAGACAGCCTGGCTTCAAATCTCATCTCCCCCCTGCCAACTAGGTGACCTGGGCAAATGGCTTCAGGTTCCTCATCCAGGAGTACACTTCAGCAAGGAGTCAAGACTGTTGTGTGTTACTTTCCCTCCCCTCCTCTGCTACCCCCTACTCTTCCCCTCTCTCTTCTCTCCAGGTCTTCCTAGCTCCTCCCCTGCACTTACATTCAATCTACTCAGGGAATACAGATTGGTTTTGGTTGGAGAGCAGCCACATCCCCGCGGGCTCCTCTCTGCACAGGCAGCAGCCCTGGTTGTTGGCCTGGATGTTGACTGGGAGAAGCAGGGACTTTGCCTGTCATGCTCACTGCCATTTCCCCAGTGAACACCACTCCAGGGACCTTCCCTGCACTCCCCATCCTGGACACACAGCTGATTAGTCTGGTGTGAACATCTGACCCACACAACACCCAACAGGAGCCGGAGCGCCTCAGAGTGACGGGAGGGAGCCCCGGGGGAACTCTGACAGCTGCAGGAGGCTGAGCTGGCGGGCTCACTGACTGGGATGGAGGGCTGCTGAGCCACCGCATCAGGCCATGTGCAAGGCGGAGGGGCCAAGCAGGAGGAGGGAGCCGGATGGACAGGAGGATGAGGCGGATCCCCAGCGATAAGAGGATACTCTGCACCGACTGCCCTGGGATCTGGCTGCTTCCCCGCCTGAAGCACCCCTAATTCCTTCTGCCAAATAGAGCAGGTCTGCTCCTTACATGCACAGAGACACTGCCTCCAACAGTGTGGCCCTCCTGCTTCCCAACTGGGTATCTGGGGGGAACTGGGGGATAGGACCACTCACGTGGGGTCCCTTGGGGTTAGGTCAAAAGGAGAGGGACCGGCACTGAGGAGAAGCTGCCAGGCCCTGGGTCGGGGGCTGCCTGGCCCCAGGCTCACCTGGACTCTGCGTGGTAGATCATTACCCAGCTTTACAATGAAATCGATGGGCCTCACAGTGGTCAGGTGATGTGCCCAAGGCCACACAGCTGGCGAGGTAAGGGGCACAGGCCCTGCCCAGCACCAGGTCAGGTTCCGCTTACCACCAGGTCCTCCAGGGTGAGCATCTGGTCCGTGTCCCGCAGGATCTCGACTTCACCCTTGTGGGTCAGTTTGGAGGTCGGAAGGATGCACAGCTCCTTCTGTTGCTGCTCAATGATCTCCAGGCCCTGTGGGGTGGAGCAGCCCTCGCTCAGCCGGATTCAGGAGGGTCTCTGGCCCCAAGAACCCCAGTGCTCACTGTCCTCCCTCGAGGCCCCTCGCCTGTGGTCCTTTCCATGCCGGCCTTTTCCCTCCCCGCACTTTTGCTCTTGCCATTCCCCTCACCCGGAAAGCCCTCCACCCCAGCCCTACCTCTCCACAGTCCACTCATCCACCCTCCAGCACAAGCCCTGCTCCTCAGCACGCCTTGAACTTCGCCTGCACCAGCACAGTCAGTTCTGCTCCTGAGTGCACCCCACCATCTGTCCTGGGAGGCGCGCAGGCTCTGGAATGCCAGCTGGGCCGTTAATATAAGAGACCTACAAGGTAGTGGCCTTGGGCAAGCGCTTTACTGCTCTAAGCCTCGTTTTTTCTCTTCTCCAGGGATTAAACTAAGAGCATTATATTAAACAGCATACGTAGTGCTTCGCCAGAGCCTGGCTCATAGTAAAGGCTACTAGTGATTCTTAGTATTGAGCAATGCCATCCTATCTGAAATGTTTCCTGAAAGCCTGTCCCTCCCTTTCTAGCCACCCCGGAGGGCCGAGGCCCCGTCCGCCCTGGCAGTGCGGGCTTCGTGCGCGAGGCTCTGGGGCAGCTGCGCAGGCTCTGTGCTTAGACGGGCCCCATGCTTAATGCCCTTGTCATCTTGAAATTCTTAATTTCGTTGTTGAACAAAGGGCCCCGCATTTTCATTCAGCACTGGCCCCACCGATTGTGCAGCTGGTCCCGCGCCCTGGTCCCCACAGGGCCTGGACAGAAGTTCAGTCTGTAGTGCACAGATTCACCTAGTGGATTCTAGCTATTCATGCTAATCAGTGTCTACCAGGACGGGAGCCTTAGCACCCACCCCATCCCATGGCCCCGCTCCCTAGATCAGTCCTTCCCTCTCACTGGGCTACAAAAACCGCTACACAAATCCCCTAGGCCAGCTCGGTGCCCACACCTTCCCTGCCCCTGAACAGTTCCCAGGGAGGGGAGACCATGGACACAGGGTATATGGGGCTATAACTGTGAAGTGTGGGGGGCAGAGGGTCTCTCAGCCAGTCTGGGGCACCAGGAGTGGGAACAGGGGCACCCCAGGGGTCTACTCCCCATGGATAGCAGATGTCAATCTTGAACTCTAGAGTCTGGACCATCATCCCCAAGC